CAGAGAAGGCACCAGCTGATATCCCATAGACATTGTCCAGTCCTTGGATGTTTTTGTTTGGCCTGCCCATTTTTTTTTCCCAGTTGAATTAGTTGCCAACATTGAAAAATTAGGAGAAATACAGATTTCCAGCTTTTCTTAGAAAATTGTAGGATCTGGCATTACTGGTCCCATTTTCTCACATGTCTCCCAGGACTGCTGGAGCTGAGTTACTGGTCCCTGTAGATAGAACTAAGCCCTCTAGTGTTCCACTGGAGTTGCTATGATTGATCGTGCTTGGCCTGCTTTGATCATTTGTGTTTCCTGCCTGGTTCCTGAAGGCATCTGAATTTTTGACTACTAAACTGTTGCCCTTAAATGACATAATTGGTTCTTTTTCCTTCTTTGTTTCATCTGTTCTTACCTTAATACATTTTGACCTTGCTACCTTCCTTTTCAAGGTATCTAGGCTCTGTGTTCAGGCTTCCTGTCCACCTTTCTGGTCATCGGTGCTTTTATGGTAAAAAGAGGAGTAAATTGCTTATGTGGAACAGTTAGAAGAGCTCCTCAAAATATTCTCCCCCTTCCTTTAAGGGGTGAAGGTATTGTGTTTCCATAAAGCTTGAAATGTAATTCCTTTCCTGGAAGAAGTGACAAAGTACTCTAGTGAAGTTTAATTTATCAGATCAGCTCTGTAAGCATAAACCTGGGAAGCAACAGGAGAAAAGATTTGTAGATTTTATGGGTTAAGAGAGTAGTCAGGGAAATCTTAGGTCTCTGAGTGGCTGAATGCCTCAGACGGGATGCTGTGGTGGTCTGGTTTCAGAGCTGGGAAAAACATGAGAACATGGCAGGGAACAGAGTATGGATAGGTAGCTATGTGCTGTCTTTCTCCAACTCAGCAAATTTTCCCTGGGCATGTCCCCTGCCCAACCATTTCCTTCCCTTCTTTAAGTCCCTTCTATAAGTCGGTATACTGTGGAGGAATCTTAAGAGCTGGAATCTATCTCAAGGTAGCCTCACTGAATTTGAATCTTGTATCTTCTTTCTTACTAGCCATGTGACCTTGGGTTAATCTTTTTGTACATCCTTTCTTCATCTATAATTGGAGGATAATAGCATACTACCTCATAGAGTTGTGTGGACTAAAAAAATGAGACAGTATTTAGAATCTTCTTAGAACAGAGCTTGGCAAAGAATCAGCCCTCAATAAATTTCAGTCCCTATGACTGCTGTTGCTATCCTGGCAAGAGCACTAGACATGGAGGGGTCAGATGATGAGGGACCAAATGCTTGCTTTGCCATCCACGAGCCATGTGACCTTGGACAAGTCCTTCTATCCAGAGAGCTTCCGTTTCCTCACCTGGAAAAGATGTCATGAGAATTAAAAGTGGAGCCAAATAAGTTGGTCAAGACAAGAGCACTAGGACAGTTTGTGTTTGTTATGTCTTATGTCTCTCCTACCTTCTCTGTTCCTCGCTCTTCTTCCAGAGGTAGGCAATGTAGCCTGGAGGGGAAGGCAAGATGAACACCCATGAGGAGGCAGCTAACAGTATCACATGGTCATGGAAATAGGAACTGTAGTGATGTCCCTTCTTTCAGTCCCCATATTGGGAACTGGTGTTTTATCTTTCATCTTCTTGATTAGTCTGACTAAACATTTAATCAATTTTATGGATCCTGTCAAACAACCAGCTTTTGTTTTCATTGACTTTATTTATGGTTTTTCTATTTTCATTCTCACTGATCTCTGCTCCCCACCTTATTATTTCTTTCCTTCTGTTTGCTTTGGATTGAGTTTCTTCTTCTTTTTCTAGTAGAAGTGCAAGCTTAGATTATTGATTCAGAGCTTTCTTATGTTAGTACAAATATTCAATGTTATAAATTTCTAAGTATTGCTTTAAAGGCATCCCACAACTTTTGATATGTTGTGTTTTCCTTTTCACTCAATTGAAAATACTTTCTAATTTCCTTTTTTATTTCTTTGTTGACCTTTCTTTGGGTTATTTGGATGGGTGTTGTTTAATTTCCAAATATTTATGGATATTTTCAGATATGTTTCTGCTATTGATTTTTAGTTTAACTTAATTGTGGTCAGAGAATAAAATTTTTATTACTTCAATCTTTTAGATTTGTTAGATTAGCTTTATAACTCAGAATATGGACTATCTTGGTGAATGTGTGTTGAAAAGAATGTATTTTCTGCTGTTTAGTGGACTGTTCTATACATGTCAATTAGGTCAAGTTGGTTTGTAGTGACTTCTATGTCCTTACTGATTTTATGTCTCCTTGTTCTCTCCATTACTTGAGAGAAAAGTGTTGAAGTCTCCAACTTATACTTGAGAATTTGTCTATTCATCCTTTTAGTTCTGTCCATTTTTATTGTATGTATTTTGATGTATGTAGATGATCTGTGCATTTTACTGTATGCATTTAGGATTATCAGGCCTTCTTAATGAGTTGACCATGTTGTCATTAATTGATCTGCCTCTTTATCCCAGGTAACGTTCTTTGTTCAGAAGTCTTTATATGTCCCAGCTTCCTTTTGATTCATGATTGCATGATATATCTTTTTTCATTTCTTTACTTTTCTTCTATATAGGCCTTTATAATAAAAGTGGATTTCTTGTATGTTTACATTGGTTATCATTAATGTATTTATATTTTAAAACTACCACCTTACTATTTGTTTTCTATTTGTTTTATATGTAGTTTGTTTCTGTTTTTCCTCTTTTCATGACTTCTTTGCAAATGAGTATATTTAATGGTTCCATTTCATCTCCAATTTTGGTCTGTTAATTATACCTATTTTTTAAATTCAGTGGTTGTTCTAGGGTTTACAGAATCCATCTTTAACTTAACACATTCTACTTTAAAATAATATTATACCATTTCACACCCTGGGTAAGGGCCTTCCAATACTCTCTCTCAGTTTCCTCTCTCCTATCTTTTGTGCTATTATTGTCCTACTCCTATATATGTTATAAACACCATAAGACATCATCACTATTTTTGCTTGATACCAATGTTTCTCTGCCTTTTTTCTATTATTGCTTTCCTCCATGAAATTTAATACCACGTATATACTGTATATCTGTTTATGTTCTGTGGCACTTTGGAGACCTAAAAACCACTGTAATACCTAAGATAGTTTTTGGCTTCCAAATCACTAGTTTTATCCCCATGGGAGAGTATTTTGGGTTGACTGTTTTTTTTTTGTTTTTTTGTTTTTTCTTTCCATACTTTAAGGTTGTCACTCTATTATCTTCTGGCTTGCATAGTTTCTGCCAAGAAATTGGCTGTAAATCTTATCTTTGTTCCTTTGCATATAATATCCTCCCTTTCTCATCTTCCCCTCCCCAACACCACCCTCACTCCAGCTTAATTAAAGATTTTCTATCTTTGTTTTTCAGATTTGATTTTGGTATGTCTCGGTGTGTAGGTTTCTGTTTTTGTTTTTATATTTATTCTGCTTAGGGTTCTCTGGAGTTCTTAGACCTATGTTTTATTGTTTTTGATTAATTTTGGAAATTTTTTAGCCATAATCCATTCAGATATTTCTTCTGTCTTCTTTCTTTTAATCTTCCTGGGGCTTCAATTACATATATGATAGACCCTAGGATATTATCCTCTCTCCTGCCCCTCTCCCAGAGCAGACTGCTGATCCTTTTCACTCAGTGATTTGAATGAGAGATGGTCCTGGGAGATGAGTGTGCTTCCACACTCCTCTTCAATAAAGAGGCCCTTTCCAGTTTCCTACCTTGCCCATTACCCTCCTTATGATCCTTATGGGATCTTATGAAGGACTGCAAGCCCCTCTTGTGTCTGGAGCTCTTAGTTATTGTAATCTGTCATGCTAACCTATACTCAGCCTTTCAGAATTTACAAGATTATATCTTTTTCTTTGTACTGCCCTTTTCTCCTGTGCTCTGCCAAATCTGAAAGTGTTTTCATGTCCCATTTTCCTTGGAGGGGCTTGTCATTTTTTTTTTTTAAATTCAGTTCACATGATTACCTTGTAGCCTCCATTCTATGATGGGTTCAAGGAAAGTTTGATGTCACAGATTATCTGGATTTTTCTTGTTGCTAGGGTGGAAGCCACATTTTCTTGCATTGTCTATACCCTAGGTGGGAGCAGCACCTTTGGTAGTGGATAAATAGATTCAATTCACTGTTCTTATTTTTTTGTCCTCACATCAAAGAGTGGGCTGCACTCCCATTTCCCTCCTGTGTTTTATGTCATAGCCTCTTGAGAAATAAAATATACAGTTTCTCTGTGGTTTGTATTTTTCTTGTCAAGTGTCCATCACCAATATTTATTTAAAGGAAAATCCCTTTTTAGAGACTTAGTATGACAATTTACTAACTTCCTGAACTCTAGAGATCAAAAAAATAATGGCTTGTTAATTTTCTCTCTAAAAGAATTTTTTAAATTATAGAATTAATCCATTAACAAAGTAGAGAGTTTAAAATTGCAGAAACGTAAAAAATAAAGAAATAAAAACCACCCATCATCCCATCAACTAAAGAAACCATTGCTAATATTTTACCAAAATGCTTCTAGTCATTTTTCTGAGTTTTATGGTTTGTGTACATAAGTACGCATGCCCACCTAGATAATTTGTGTTTTATTCACATAATGAAGTTCTGAAAAGATGTTTTTCTGTGGGTTACGCTACTCATGAGATGATGATGTGTTACTTATGTTTGTCTGGTAAAGATGCCAAAATGTATGGTCTACTTTCAGTTTGCTGTTAGGGCTGGATTCCTTCTTGGGGCTAGTTCACGTGAATAGCCAGGATTCCCTGGTGTGTGTGTATGTGTGTGAGTGTGTGTGAGTGATTCCCAGGGAATGTAATTCATAGTGGAAGAGACCAGTTCTTTGTGCTGAGGTCCCTCTTGCGCCATCTAACTTCCATCTCTTTTCGTTTACTCTGACCCGTTGTCAGGTTTAGAATAAACAGAAATGGGGGAAGTTTATGGTGTTCTCAATATGTGTTGCGATATTCTTTCTTTTTCAGAAAGTATTTTGGAGAAAAAATTGGACTATATTTTGCCTGGCTGGGATTATATACATCATTCCTCATTCCATCTTCTGTAATTGGAGTGATCGTGTTTCTTTACGGATGTGCAACAATCGAAGAAGATATTCCCAGGTGAGAGGGTTTTAAAGAAAAAGCCTCAGTTCCCACATGGCAGTACTTTGGAGTTTCATCCCAGTTGCGAGTACAGTTCACATGCTTCCTTCCAAAGTCCTTACCCTCTATTCTCTCCTCCCCTTACTACACACATAACCTCCCTCCAGAGACAAATCTGGGAACTATAGAGTCTGGGAATGGCTTCAGAGCCTGCTGGGGATGGCTCCCTTCCTTTCCTAGTTAGGCTCTTCTCCAGGGCTAGAGTTTGATACGGGCAAGTGGATTCTACCTGATGAAAAAACCCATGCCGGAGAAACGCATTTTCCTCTCAACTTCACGACTTTTTTCTCTGGTTTCCCCTAAGACCTGAGGCAGGAAATGTTGAGTGGCATTGGGTAGTGATCACATGTCGATATGGTCAAACACTGTTGGGGTAAAATGCTGTGAGGCTGTCCACAGAAGCAGGCAGCTCTGGAACTGAGGGGGCTCAGCCTCTGGTTCAGGAAGTCAGAAACTGCAGGTGACAGGCCCCATGGTGGGGTTTTGGAGAGCCAAGAGATGGAACAAAGTCTGGTCCTTATGGTGAAAAGAGAGCCTACAAAGAATATAAGCACTTAAAAATAGCATACTCGGGCTGCAGTGTGGCTTAGTTGGTTAAGCATCTGACTCTCGATTTTGGCTCAGGTCATGATCTCAGAGTCATGAGATCAAGCCCCACATTGGGCTCTGTGTTGGCCATGGAGCCTGCTTCAGATTTTCTCTTTCCCTTCCGTCATTCTCCGCCCCCCCGACTCATGCTCTCTTCTCTCTCTCTCTCTCTCTCAAAAAAAAAATAGCATCCTTCAGGATGGACAGCATTACATATTAGCTGTAAGACTGGATAGTTAACTCCCCAAGTCTTCCTTCCCTTGGCTATAAATAGTGATAATAACCCATACCTTGTGATGTTGTTGTGAGGATTCAAGGAGACGATGTTTGGCACATAATAGAATATTAATAAATAATTGTTGAAGGAATCAACATATGTGGAAATAAAGTACAAGTGATGAAAGAGACACTTAACATATTTAGCATTTAAATCCCTTGCCATCTTCAGCACTGTCCTTGAAAACCGAAGCATGGTTAATGTATTTTAATACTTTTTCAGTTGCAAGTGGTAGAAATGCAACATGACCTAGCTGAAGCAAAAAAAAAAAAAAAAAAGGAATTTATTATAAGGATTCTGGGGTGTGTCAGGGAACACAGTGGCAGGCGTGTGACTAGCCTAAGGACCAATGGAAATAGGGACTCCTATTTATCTCCCGTCTCTGGTTCTTTCTTGTATTTGTTTCACTACAGATTTTCTCCATTGGATGTAAACATTCCTACTAATAGCTCATGGATGTTGTATCGTAGAGCTTTTTCTTGAATTGGTTCCAAATGAAAAAGGCCTATTGGCTCATTTTGGATTAGGGTGGAGGCTCTGGGCCCACAGTTGTGGCTCTGGGGCAGGATCATGCTGTACCAACAGGATGTTCCCTCAGTATCCAGGTGGATGAGGATACTGGGCAGACTGTGGGTGTCCACTATAGTTGGAGGAAGTAATGGCCATCCTGAAGAAAGGACCAAGAGCTGGACTCCTTTGAGAAAAGGGTTTCACCAATGGCAGGAACCAGGTATCTCTTCTTGCAGCCATGTTAATCTATAGAAATGGAGTTGGTGTTGCCAGTAGTTAGAATAAAGCTAAATAACTTGGTGTAAGAGACAAAGGTTTAGATATTTTTGTGTGTAAAACTCCGGTACCAACTGCCCAGTGTTTTGACTGGGAATTCTGGGACCATCACACAACATATATGGTTGAGGTTCTGCCTTCCTCAGGCCATCTAGCATGAGGGAAAAACTAATACTTGCCAAATGCCTACCTTGTGCCAGGCATGGTGCTGGGTGTTTGTTAGGTACTTGTCTCTTTGATCCTGTAGAGATCATGGTTGTAAACTGTGATATTGGTATTATTTTCACCTAACAGAGTTGGAGAAATTGATGCTAAGTGCAGTCATATAACTTGTCCAACTTCAGCAACTAATAATTGTCAGGGTTGTGACTTGACCTCAATTGCCTCCTGCTCCAAAGTCTTTGCTTTTGCCCATAAGATGTGAAGTCTCCCAGAAGGTTCATATCCTCCCTGGCAGCCAAGTAGTTTCAACTGGCCTTGCCTGGTACTTTCTCAGAAAACATAGCTCCCACGTGTCTCTTGCCCAGTTTGATCCCTAGAGAGCTGGGCCTCAGATTGATCCAAACTAGAAAACTCTACACTGTGCTTAGAGAGCTAGTGCCAGGGTAGAGGGTGGGCCATCAGTGTGCTCGCTTACATTGGGATTTAGAACTTGTGCCTTGGTTCCCCATATGGGAATACATGCAGCAGGGACCATGTAGCTGAAAATGACCATGGTCTACACATATTGAAAAATATATATCTATACGCATGCATTCATGTATATGCAGGTATATATGGATGAGAAATGTGATGATCATTATCACTGCAGATGTCTCTTCTTACCTGTCAGAGTGTGTAGTGTTTCACAAACTATGTATAGCAGCCCATTAGTGGATCACAGAATCAGTTGAATGGTTACATTTTAAATGAACTAGAATAAGATAGGATAGAGTAGAATGAAATATAATATTAGTATTCATCACAAGAAGGGAGTATGGGTATTGTTCCATGAGATTTTATTTGGCTATATAATATGTTTATGGGGAAGAGAGAGAATATGTATGTATTTGCGTACTGGAATCTGATGGAAAAGATTGTTTTTAAACTGTAGGTCACAGTCAAAAAAGTTTGAAATTGACTGTTTTAAAGCTGAAATTTTGGTTGTTGGATTTTCAGACTCAGGGTGGGGTGTGATAATTTTTTTCTATTATTTACATCTTCCTCACTTATGTGTATTATGAAGAATTTTTTAAAAGAACTGCTCTTTAATCATAATTAGATAGCCATCAAAAATCCAAGCTCGATGGGCTTGACGAAAACTCATAAAATACCACTCCCTATCAACAAAAGAATAGTCTTTAAATCCCAATACTGAATCTAAACAAATTCATACTCTTCCGGGATCTATGTCTGTCAGCCACTCCTAAGCATGATTAAAAACTTGTACCATTCCTGGGGTTACTTTGGAGGTTTCTAATTTTGACACTAAGCCTGGAATTTATTATCTATGTATAATTTTTAAAAATGCTGTATTTTGAAAACATTATAGATTAATAGGAAGATAGTACAAAGGGGCCCACCATGCCCTTCATCCAATTTCCCCTCGTGGTTATGTCTCATATAACCTATGTCTCATATAACCATATAACATAATAGTTATGTCTCATATAACAATATCAAAAGCAGAAAATTTACATTATGTGGAAGTTTAAATGGTACCTTTTATCACCAGCAACTTGGATATATGAATACAAATATCACTTATGAGTAATAATTCCATATGTGCATGATACATCTATAGAACTTTTCTCTACTTACCAAAGGATTGGTTCTATTTATTAGGCATTGGCTTACATGGGTAGGAAAGCCTGGAGCATTAAAAAAAAAAAAAAAAAAAGCTAAAAAAAAAGCTGATTGATCTAAACCATCTTGAAAAAAAATGATTACCTTGGTCTGAGACCTTAATAGCAGATGCTGTGTCTGAATTTCTGGAATAATTCCCATGTTGCACCATCTCCCTTTGTGCAAGCACAACCCTGTATCACCAAACTTATGAGCAACGAGTTACTGACTAAAAACACCACTCACTTTGGGGTCCTGGTTCAGCTGACTGCCAGGCCATTTATCAACCTTCTTGTGCTTTCTAGAGAAAATAATAGACTGAAGAAATACAGCATTTGATTTATAGCCACAGTTGGTTCTAACTAGAAATCCGTGGATTGTGCAGCTAGTGAAAAACCCAGATGTTTTTTCAGTTTTAGCTGAGCTTCCCTCACCTTTCCGCTTCTCTTTCAGCCTTGTCTAGAGAGGCATCCTCTCTCAGGGAACACAAAGTCATTTTAATATCATCCTGAGGCAGAATTTCTCCAGAATTCTGTTCAAATGGCTTGCATCAAACAGACAAATAAACAAACAAAACGACCCTATACCTATAAAGCATTCTGATTTCAAGTTTAAATGATTTGGGGAGTATCCATGCGACAGTGGCTGCCATTTTGTACAAATGATTGGTAGTTGACTGTCTTCCCATTGTAAAGCCAATAACTGACACAGCACTTATGTTTCAAAGTGCTTTGCACTTTGTTAGCTGGTTTGCTAACACTTTTTCATTCCTGACATTTTAGCACTGACTAGTTTTGATTAGGATTAGGTTGGCTAGGGATTATCCCTTCCCCAAGTCTATGTGTTCAAAAAAAAAAAAAAAAAGCCCCAAACAACAAAGTGATGTCCCTGACACACATATTTGAAGGGCAGCACCAAGGAACTTATATGTTCTCAGTCATGGCTTAAAAGCACAGCTCCTTACTATAATTTATAAAGACCAACAGTTTCCTGTGTGAATCTGTTTTCTAAGAGGGGACTCTCCTCTCTGAAAATAGTGACTCCTCCTCAACGATACAGCGGACACTTGTTGGACCCAGAAGACTTAGAATAAACCTTGCTCTCCGGTTACCCATAGGAACGTGCCCAAGTGAAACCAGCACGGCTGAACTTACTATTAAGATGTTACTATGTAATATTGTCATTGTGAATGAGTCACTGCTGTTGACACTTGCCAATGGAGAGCTTAGCAGCGAGTCAGTGGAGGAATGAGGATATACTCTCAGAGACCTAGAGTTTCCATTCTCTCACACAGAAGGCCTTTCCTTGCTGTGGGCTTAATAGCTTATTAAAAACAAGCCTGAAGGCCGGGACTTGAAAGACGGTGACAGCCCTCAGGAAAACCCTTCATCTTCTTAATGAAGGGGAGCTGGACCCAGGCATCCCTTGACTTCTGGCTTTCATCTAAGCACTTGCTTTAGCACACAGGGTACCAGTCGGCTGACCCTGGCAATGTCCTCCCACTTGTCAGCCATGCTCTGTAGTGCCCTCTGCTGTCTCTTTCCGGAGGAAACACAGCGGCGGTTTTCAGAGTAGGACCCCCTGCCTCCCCATGACCGTGTGTGTCTCCAGCAGCTCTGTGAGAACAGCCAATGCTTCATTTTCGTGAAATCTTGAGTTCTCCACCCTGTTCTCCCAAACAATGAACTTCACCATCTATCCATTCCCCTGGGGAAATATTACACACCAGAGTGATGAGTTCATTCATTTTCCTACCAATATGTAGTGTGGAGGGACAGTAGGGAAGCCGATTAGGGCTGGTTGTTCTTTGGTTCTTATTTGCAAGCACTCATATAAGCCTGAATTTATTGGATCTAGCTAATCACCTAAAGAGTGAATGGAATTTCAACTATATTCATTAGTCCACTAAATAGAAATATACTGAGAATAGGTTAGAATATAGCTAACGGTTTTTTGACTCTATAAGTATCATAGAACCTAGACTTTGGAAGAATTTACTTTATTCTTCCATTCCCCCTAATCCCATTTCATGGTTTAGATCATTATTATTAGGCTGAGGTTATTAATTCCCATTCTACAAATGGTCATGCAGCTGATGCACTTAGAAAGGGGCTTCCAACCCAGCTCTGACTCCATTCTTCTCCACATGGCTTCTCCTTGAGAAGTAAGAGCTTGTGTTGATCCAATCACACTCTTGTATTTGCCTCTCCTTGTGACCAGGTCTCACATGTTTGTGAGGCAGCCAGTAGGCTTTAATGAGACAGCCTGAGCTTGCATGAAGATGGTGAAACCTAACTTCAGACAAGTGACGGATTCATAGTTGGTGGTACTCCCCACCAACCTCTTAGACTCCGTGCATTTTGAAGGGACTTTATAAAGCATCATGCAGTGTACAACATCTCTGGCAGATGCTCACTGATTTTCTCTTAGGACCCTCCTAGTGATAGGATCTGTACCTCAGCAGTGGCCCACCCACTTCTTTGACAAAATACAGGAGTAATGCTCTCATGGTAAAGAATTCAACGTCTTTAACACACCCCACTTTTGGAGTTGATCAGCTCCGCCATGGATTTGGAAGTGGGGGATGTTTTTAGGGTGATTTGCTTGGGGTGGATCCTGCTCGAGCTCCACTTGACCCAGCAGTCTCTCTCTACTGCAGCAAAGAGATGTGTGACCAGCAGAATGCCTTCACCATGTGTCCCCTGTGCGACAAGTCCTGTGATTACTGGAACCTCAGCTCAGCCTGTGGTACGGCAAAGGCAAGCCACCTGTTTGACAACCCTGCCACCGTCTTCTTCTCCATCTTCATGGCTCTATGGGGTAAGCGGTTATCATGACCCTTGCTTATTTTGGTGATACCTTTAAATGGGTACAGTGACCATGCTCTAAAGTCCATATCCTTTGATTTATGCCCTTTAGTATTTAGTCCTCATACCTCAAGAAGTATTTTAGGGACAATAGCTTTTTCTCTTTTACTTCTATGTGTGAATAGAACGAGGAATATCCTCCTTGGCTTTATATATTTTTTAAAAACATAGAGGATATTAATCTTGTACTAATCTCATGTATGCTTTATTCAGAATTTGAACCAATGCAAATCCCTAGCACACCCATAAGGCACTCCAGGTATATCTGCTAAGATGTGTAAAGTCACAGATAGTCACTATAACACTCAGAGTGGTGGGGTGACTGCTATGGCCACAGAGTTCGCTGGTGGTGAAGGTGGGCCCAAATCTGATCTCCTGACTCCAGGTTCTGTGCAATTTCCGGGACACCATGAGTGCAGACGGTGGAGATTTTACTTAATGCCACAGTAGTGTTTTCAGTATTTCCACCAAAGGGATTTGTGAAGGAGAGAACAGATAGTTCCTTCATTTTCCTTCTTCTCCCTTTACCCCCAGAGTATTAGGGTAATAAACTTTCTCTGGCCATAGTCATCTGACCATAAACACACACACACACACACTCTCTCTCTTTCTATTCACAAACTGGAATGGAATAACCTAGAATAATAATCCCTGTGGTAACTGGACATTTCCAAGGAGACACACCCACATGTATCATACAAGGAACAAAGTCTACATGTTTCAGCCCATCTTGAGTAGCCACCTGACTTTCACTTTTTACTCATCATTGGATATGCAGGCCCTTAGTTTCCCCATTGGATCACAGAACAGCAGGGCCGTGATCCTGCTGCAGAGGATGCTTGATTATCACTGACTCCATGGGGCCGGGAGGACATGCCAGGATGAGACCGTGAGTCACACATTCCTGAAAGTGTGAAGAAGAGAGAGGGAGAGGGAGAGGTCTGTTCTCAGTAGTGCTGGGAGTACTAATACAAGCTTTCTCTCTTCCCAGAAGGGACCTCTCCTTGGGTGGAGATAGAACCAGACTGGAAAGACTGCCATATTACTAGGCCACCAAGGAACATTTCCAGGGGACACTCTCTTCTCTGTTCCCTAGGGGGATAGCCACTGCCCAGGGACACATGGAAGTAGTCAGCCCACAGAAATAGGGGCAGGGAGTAGGAGGAGGTGGCACTGGTCACCATAGGGCCCTGGAATTGTTCACAGGAGGGCTTCAGTAGAACCAGCTGAAGCTGAAGCTTGTTGCCTGGGAGTCTTAGGCAGCAGCTCTGTGTCTCCTTGTCAAGCAGGGCATCTCATGATTACCCTCAAATCCACTGGAACTGATTTGAATCCAGAATACATATTCAGTGTTTGATATATTGCAATCCTAATTCCCATTCATTTGTCTGAAGAGATTCCCATGACTGAGTAGCTAAGCTTAATAACGCTGGGTCCATGATCCCTTATGGACTTTCCTGGGGTGTGTAATTCCTTGTTGTAGAGAAACTTGATTTTCAGTTGTACTTGACCACTCTCAAGCCCCAACAACTACCTCTTCTCTTTCCTCAATAGCTGTAATTAACAGATGCCTCCTGCCCCCTGGGATCTGCGATAATTTACTGCCCCCACCCCTGCCCCTCTCACTCCCCCTCATGGGGTAGCTCAGGAAAAGCATGAAGGGTGGGATGTGTCAGAGCTTCCTGGCATAGCGTGGGGTTCAGTTGTGTTTTTTAACAGCCTGGCCATGTTTTATGTGATTGTGTATTTGGTTGCAGTAGCCAAGAGCTGCTGGGCATGGTTGCCTGCAAATTACGATTAAAAATAATAGTGCTGCCTCTCATTACCATGATTATTATGATCAGTGGTGCTGTGCTGGGTGGGCCTGGGCTGGGGCCCAGTCTGCCAGGAGGAAGGCTGGGAGAAGTGGTTCTTCACAGAAAGACTACCTGTCAGTTGCGCAGGAGTGGGGGTACATGGAGGGTGGTAGTCAGCAGGGCCTGGGTCTGTGGAGTCTTCAGGCCTAGGTCCTCTGTGGTTCCACTTCAGACTCCAGGGAACTTTGGAAAGCGAGTGAAGCCTTATTGAAAAGGGAAGTAAAGGGCCAGGGTTTCTGAACTCCGTTCTGAATAGAAGTTAAGGGCATTGACTTAGGGGCCAGGCAGTCCTAGATGCGTGTCTCAGTCCTGCTCCTTACCAGCTGGGGATCCATGGCAAGAAGACAGTGTGGATCTAGCTCCGTGTCACAAAAGTCAGCACTCTTAACCAAGATGCCATGTACCTGGGGCAAAGTTCTTAACCTTTGGGCATCATCGTGCTCATCTGTGAGATGGGTGAAGGAATACCCACCCCCATGGTGCTCTTGGGACAAGTGAATGAGATATGGGTGCAGAGCACTTAGCATGGTGCCTGGCAGAGAATATACACCAGGAGCTGTGGGCTGCTCTTCCTCATTATGATGGGCCTCCTTTGTCCTCATGAATCCTCTGCAGTGACTTCTCTGCCCCTCTCATCTGTTCCCATGCTCTGACTTCTCTTCTTCATAGAGATTGCAGTCAGGAAGCACTGAGGATCGTGCTGTATGCAGAGCCCTCCTCAGGTGCTGAGAAGAGCATAGGAAAAGGAGGGACACCCTCCTCCCACCTTATTCCCAGAGCATCCCCAGGCCAGTGCCAGTGTTGGGAGGTCAGGATGCACTTAAATGAAAAAGCCGCAAATCCAAGGGAGAAACCCTGCGAATCTGTGCACTGTAACATAGCGCCAAGTAAAACAAATGGAGCTTTTAGCAAATGCACATTCAGCCGGTCTGTAGGTGTTTATTCTGCTTAGTTCTGTGCTGTGCCCGAGGCAAACAGGCAGCTAAGAGCTGAGGAAGTTTACAGTCCCGTTATAGAAACACTGTAGACCTGAGTCGCAGCCAACAGGGCAGTGCGGCATGTGGTGAAGGGTGCCCAGGCTTTTCCTGTGGGTGGTGTCCTGGGGGTGGCCTCAGGGAGTGTCACTTCCCTTCTTTTCCAGGGCACCAGACCCTAAGGACAGTTGGAGCATGGAGGAGAGGGCGGCCCCAGCAGAGTGGGTCAGGAAAGGATGAGGGTAGCCTGTGGAGGGTAGCATAGGGGCACAGGACAGTTTGCGTGAGTTGGGGATGAGGAGGGCAGCGAGGAGGTGACCTTAGCAGCAATGCAGGTGTGAGGTTGTATGTTGACAGACTGAGGGAATGGATTTAGACAGATGGGTCGGGCCACATACACAAGGTCCCCCCATCCAGAGAGAAGAACTTACACAATAAGGAGCCATTGAAAGTCTAGATGGGGGAGTGTTGGCATCCTCCCCCTCCCCACCCCTTCTTCACTGCCCAAATGCCATTGTTCTTCAAGACTCAGCTCAGATGGCTTCTCTGGCAGCCAGCACACTCCCTCTGCTGCATGCCCACAGCTCCTTACGGTGTCATTCTTAAGGCCCTGAGCACTTCATGCCTTGTATTGTAGCTATTTACAGTCTTTCCCTATAGACTGTTGACAGTTTGAGAGCAAAATCCACATTAGATTCACCTAATCTCTCTGATGATGTCTAGAACGGTGTTTTGCGTATTACAGATACCTTAGTTGGGCCCAGTTCTTTTTGCAGGATTGGAAGTTTATTCCAGCTTGCTCAAAGAACAAGAGAGGTGTTATAAGAAAACCAGAAGCAAGCTCCTGGATGCAGGTAATGAAAGGGAGCCAGGCCTCTGGGGGACTGGAGCTAGAGGAGCTCTCTGAAATCCTGGCCCTTTCTCCTTTCAGGTGCTGCATGGTTCATCCCAATTCTGCTTCTCTTTGTATCTCTTAGTTCCAGTTTTCAAAAGAGAGGACTGTATGGTCCATCAGCAGGCTCTGGATGAGGTGTTCAGTCCTGGTGTAATGAGCCTCTGCTGTCGAGTGGAGGGTGCTGGTTCTCCTTGGAACATGTTGGGCGGCCCTTCAAGGGGCTGAGGGTGGAGCAGGCAGACTGACTGGCATGTGGGTATGGGAGGCACTCAGCAGCTACTTGCTAAACAAATGGAAGCCTGGGTGAATGCCCCTAGGGGGGAATACTCTGTCGGCCACATGCCACTGGGCTTGGAAGGCTGAGACACTGAAGTCAGGTGGTACATAACCTCAGGACAGGATAGCTGGGGCCCAGAGAAGGGATGTGGTACTGGAGACAGAAAGAAAGATGGGAGGGCGCCTGGGTGGCTCAGTCGTTAGGCGTCTGCCTTCAGCTCAGGTCATGATCCCAGGGTCCTGGGATCGAGTCCCACATCGTGCTCCCTGCTTGGCGGGAAGCCTGCTTCTCCCTCTCCCATTCTCCCTGCTTGTGTTCCCTCTCTCACTGTTAAAAAATAAACAAAAAATCTTTAAAAAAAAAAAAAAGAAAGAAAGATGGGAGAAAATGAGTGAGAACTCTGAGGAAGGTGCAGGAAGAAAGAATGTATGTGTAGGGAAGATGAGCTTTGTCAAAAAAGACTATAGACCCTTCCATACTTGTTTTCTTCATCTTTCCATCCTTCCTTCATTTCTTGAGATCACTGTTTGCCCTCTTCTCAAAACCTAGAAATGGGGAGGGGCACATGCATCTGTGTGTGCTGGTGTGTCTCCTTTACGTGTATCTATTGGGCTCTTAAAGGATGTGCAATAGTTTGAGCAGTTCCAGCTAGAAGTAGGAGGAAGGGAATAAATGCTTTAAAGAAAGTCCCTAAATTTGAAATCTCAGGTTTATCCTCCACCTCCACTGGTGAACCCAAAGGGTACTCAAAATCCACTCTTTAATAGAATTTTTTCTTTCTCTTTAAGCTACCATGTTTCTTGAAAACTGGAAGAGATTACAGATGCGGCTGGGCTACTTCTGGGACCTGACTGGTATAGAAGAGGAAGAAGTGAGTTCCCTTGCATACTTCTCTGGGTCCTTGCTTGGTTTCACCCTGCAAATAGATCTTCATGAGTGAGATGACCACTTACATTTGCTGTCACATCAGGCAGTCCCTGGCTTCATGGTCTTAATCATGGTTGATATGCACTCTTATCTTGAGACATTGGACCTGATGGGCAGTCAGATGTCCTAGGGACCCTCTCTGGAAAAAGAGATGGCACAAGAGAAAAGCCTTTGTGGTACCTCCCATTTCATGGGTACATGAAGCCAGAGAGTAGAACTCATTCTCATGTAACCCAGAGCATGCATCTGTCAGAATGCCTCTGTAAGCCTGCTGAAGGTGAAGGGAGAGGTATGGGTGCCAGATGCTGATTGCCTTTGATGCGTGTGGAGGAAAAAAGAACCACTGAACTATTACAGTGTAAGCCAGTATAGCATGGGTGAAACTAGAGGATGAGCTAAGGGCAAAGGGTAGGTTCTTCTAGAAGGTTCTTCTCTAGTTTTATGGACAGATGATATTTGAAGGTTGAAAACAAATCAGCCTTCCCTCTGGGCTCTTATGAGAACTAGGGCCCCAGTCCTGATGTTGGTGAGCTGGCAATGAGTAGTGAGTGCATGGTTGCTCACAGTTCTTATCTATTCCCACTCGCCACCACTGACTGAACAGTAGATGTGAATATTGGATAGGGGCTCCTGGTGGTGTGGACACTGTCGATGAGGTGCTGGGGACAGTGTCTAGAAAGACCAGGAGGTGCTTGCATTTGCCTGAGGACTCACTTGCAAAGGCTGGCCACAAGCATAGTGGCGGCTACATGGCAAGCACGCCTTTTCTGGATTCTCCCACAGTAACTGATGTGCTTCGCCTTAGCCTGGGGATTGCTGGCTTTGTGGCCCTGATGTTTTATGACCAAACAAGGAAATCCCCAATTTAGGCTTGTTCTCAAGCCTGTGTGGCTCCACATGTCTGTCTTATGGTGTCATTTCTTCTCCTTGATGCTCTAATTGAGCAGGGGGGCATTCCATCCCCAAGCATTGAGTGCGTGTGCTCATTGTGTTCTAGGCCTGTGCATTAAATGTATGCCTGGAGACTAACGGTATCATGGGTTCTGTGGCAGATCAGAGAATGTCCACATGGATTCTACCTTCAGGGGGGATACAAATTAAGAGGATAAGCATAATAATGAAGGCAATTGCATTTCTTGGGAATTAATGGCCAAATGAGTGCTTCCAATAGAAAGTGCTATAGAAGTGGGACTGTAGGGGTGATCTGGTTGGGACATCCTTGTCCTATGGGTTCCATTTGCTTCAGCAAAGAGAGAGAGAGAGAAGAGAGTTGTGGCTGGGTGTGGAGAAGCAGGAGCCCTTGCTCTCCTAATGCAGGGCCTAGCATGTCTCCCAAGAAGAGAAGAAGACACATCCTGGCATCCAAGCCTGCATGGGGCCAGAGATGAGCTAAGTGTATCTGCTAAGGAGAGCTGAGGAAGCCAGCAAGTCTCTGCTGGAGAGGAGGTGTAAACACAGTCACACAGAGAAAGCGATCGGTTATGACTTGAGGCCCTCAAGAATCTCAGTCACAGGCCCCTGGCAGGGCTGGCAGGATAACCCATTTTGTTTCTATAGCCAGGTTTCCTGTTTTCTGATTAACCCAGAGATCAGTGGTAAGTTCACGGGTAGTACATGATTTCAGGAACTCGTGTGCAGGCTGGGAGTGGTCTGGCCAAGACTGGTTTACCTGTGCCACAAGGAGAGGTTCCTTATGGGCTCTGGTCACTCCTGATGGGTCAGGTGACTGCAAGGCAGCTTGCTTCTACAGCATGGTTGGTGTGCCCTGGGTCAGGCATGGTTGAGACGAAGGGAGGACAGCCTTGTCTTTTCCTTTAATATACTTATATTTCGAACCAGGATATTAAATGCACTTTAAATTCAGTTCAGTCTGAAGAGTCTCTGAGCATCTCCAAAGGATTCCATTCGGCTAGGGTCCTTTCTGGTCTCTAAATATTTAGAATATGATGGTGAATATGTGAGAGAAATTTCTTCTGGCTAAAGTAGCCAGGAAGGGTTGAACGAGTGGGGTGCCTCAAGTTCAGGTTGTAAGCCAGGGAGAAGTGGTAGGACACTGGAGACGGTTTTCTTTCAGGGTAGGGAAGGACATGCACAACCAAATCCAAGCTCCACTTCCTGGGTCCGTGTGGCCCCTGCCTAAGGGGGCCTTCGTGTGGAACCAGGAGGGCCATCTCAAGGGACTTACTAAACGACTCTTTGGATCCTGTTCTTGCTGAAGGGATGCCTGCCAGACCTCCAGAGTCTTTTGCTCTGAAGTGGGACAATCTTCAGCTCAGTGGGCCTCACTTGCCTGATTAGCTTCTGTCAGTCAGGCCCCAGGTGTTCCTCCTAGAGGGTGCCCTTGTCTGAACATAGATGTCCTCCCCTCCATTTCTCTCCCATCTCTTGTCTTTCATATCAAGCTTTAGGTGTCCTACATAGCTTTCTATCACACAGGAAGCAAAATCCTCTACCTCCCTTTCTGACAGTACATGTCATTCTCCTCCTTGCTCAGAACTTCCAGCCACATAGACCTTCAGTCTCTCCCCAGCTCATTCTAGTCTTTGCACCGGCTGTTCCCTCTGCTTAGAATGTTCCAATCTCCACATGGCCTATCCCTTCTTGGCTTTTCCATCCCAGCCAAAACATTACCCTCCTCAGACAGGCCTTCCCTGAATCCCCATTTGGAAGCAGCCATCCTGTTTTATTTCTTCTGTTGTTCTTATCCCTAGCTGCTGGTTTCTTACTTCTCCCTGGCTTACAACCTGAACTTGAGGCACCCCACTCGTTCAACCCTTCCTGGCTACTTTAGCCAGAAGAAATTTCTCTCACATATTCACCATCATATTCTAAATATTTAGAGACCAGAAAGCACCCTAGCCGAATGGACTCCTTTGGAGATGCTCAGAGACTCTTCAGATTGAACTGAATTTAAAGTGCTGCATTTACTATCCTAGTTCGAAATATAAGTAATATATAAGAAAATATAATATCCTAGTTCGAAATATCACCTGACTCTCAGGTGATACATTGTGTGGGCTTTTCCAAGTTTCTTTCTTTTTTTTTTTTTTAAAGATTTTATTTATTTATTTGAGAGAGAGAATGAGAGACAGAGAGCACGAGAGGGAAGAGGGTCAGAGGGAGAAGCAGACCCCCCCCGCTGAGCAGGGAGCCCGATGTGGGACTCGATCCCGGGACTCCAGGATCATGACCTGAGCTGAAGGCAGTCGCTCAACCAACTGAGCCACCCAGGCGCCCTCCAAGTTTCTTACTTGTGTGTTTGTTTGCTTATTGTCACCTTCCTCCACTTAAAGATAAGCTCAAGCTCCACTGTGGCCTCAGAGCCTGGAAAAAAGTGTAGAGCGCAGTAGGAGCTTGAAAACTCTTCGATGAAGACATTTGTTGAATGAATCTCTGGGTTTACCTCTTTAGATCAGAGAAGGCTGGTCCTGAGCTGGCCTGGGGACTTCCTTCAGCCGGCTCCTGAGGAGACCAACCAGGTAGAAGTAGCTTTGGGAAGTATTTCCCAGAGTCTAGATGGGAGGGGATATGTATTTGTGATTATTTTGCATCAGACCACCAATCCAGAGAGGCTGTGTATGAGAAACATCAGGAATAAGGAGGACCTGCCCAAGGCTGGGTACACTGGAGCAGCCCACACAGGGGCTGGATTCTGCTCTGGCCAGGAGCTCAGTTGTCCAGCTCCCTGCCTTTGAGGAATTCTGTAACCTCACCCGACCTTCTTGGCCACAAACAGATAGATCCTTGTCTGACCTGCTTCAGCTGGAATGCAGAACAGCCTAAGACTCTGTTTTGAGAGTCTTGGACTTCTGTTTATGTGGCAAGAATGCTCAACTTGTTCTAAACAGGTGAGGGGTTCTGAATGGTGGCCCAGCATGGGGTGAGGTGGGCCAGCCACAACTAGAGGGATGCGAGGACACATCTCTGTGTGATGTCATGGCATGTCTTTGGAAAGTCAGAGGCAGGTCAAGAGCAGCCTCCTAGTCAGTAGGGAGAGTTCCTCAGCCCTTTTGCAGGGTATGAAAGGTAGAAACAACTTTAGCCTGAGGGGGTTTAGAATCCACATTATGGTACTCACCAAAAAGATACTGCTATATTTTTTTAATGAAAATCTTGCATGGAAATAATATAAATGAAAAGTGATCGGATTTCAGGGGCCATGGAGGACAACTTCAAACCAAATTTCTCAAAGTATTCCTATAGGATGTTCATTGTTGGAGGCAAAAGGATTTTTGCAAGAAATAGTGGGTTTAAAAACATTAAGCAAGTGTCTTCAAAGTAGAACTTTTCAGAGCTTCTAATATGCTCATTGTGACTCTCAGGTGATACATTGTGTGGGCTTTTCCAATCTCTTAACCACTGGTATCCTTTTTTACCTACAACTCTTTTAGTACACACATTAGGAAATGATGTGTTGGAGAATGCATGAAGGTGAGAGACAAAATCAGTGAACTTCACAAGCATTTAGAGATTTCTGGGTACTACATGGTGCTAATTAAGACAGATTAGGTTGCAGATCCTCATATTGATATAAAAAGACTCACATGCAAAACAGCTAGGAAATAATAAAAGAAAAATACATAATTAAGAACTGCATGTGCTATAAGCTATAAAATTCTAGGCTACTCGAGAGGGAGGAGACTCCACCAGGTATGCCATAGCAGGAAGTCGTGGAAGGGATGGGGCTGATGCATCTTTGGAGATTGGCAGTGATGGGATGACTTAAAACCCTTGAATAGCATCACCTCCTGTTCTATTGGTTATGTTTATAAGCCACATGCATGGTTTTTCCTCTCCAATATCATGACATGTACTGGGAAAGCCAAAGACTGGTCAAGAGCCTAGCTTATTGGCTTTTGGAAACTCTGATGTGTGAGCAGTGGTAAAGAAATGTGTGTTCTCTGAGTCAACTGTGAGCCAGCACCTGAATCCTTGCCTAGGAGTTATCAATAAATGCTACAGGAACATGAAATCCTCACACCTGTAGGTATTCGTCCTTGGATGCTGCAGGGAAAACCTGCCAATGAGACCAAGTGTACACTGTTAAATTCTCTTTGAAGTAAGTCATGCATTTTCCTGCTTCAGCATCTGCATTGATTTGACCGTAGTCCTCTTGATTAGTTAGGTGCTCTTTCCCGTGCCTGGTGACTCACTATTCACGTTTGTATTGCTGAATGGCTCAGTAATATCTCTTGAGTATTGGTGTACTTGCCAATGAGTTACTCACCTAGGCTGTACAGGAAACAGGTTCAGGCAAGTGAGTTTTAAGATTCCCTGTGGCTATCTTTAACTTTGATGTTTACTGGTTGCCATTTTAGCTTTCAGAATAATGGAGCAGGAAGAAGTTTTGTCGTTGCCCTAACTCCCAGCTGTGGGGCACATCTGTTTCTCTAGCTGGGATTTGGCTCATTGAAACTTACAGTTTGAGGTATGAGGATAGTTAGGATGACCAGACGCTTCTGTTTGTATCAGTTGCCCAGTTAACGTTTCCTCTCTCCTTTCTCAACACCGGTCCCATCCCCAGGAACGTGCACAGGTTTGGTTTTCAGTGTGGTAACAACTGTTGTGTGTCCCCTCTCTCTCCTGCACACTGTGTTTCTGGTCTAGACTCCTTGTGATCGTGTGTGGTGTAACAGTTCATGTCTAATAGCATTTGATCCTAAGTCCTGACTATTGTACTTGTGGTGTCTGGTTATAACCCATAGGCCAGGGTCACTCTTCTGCCTGTTTACTAACTATGCATTGACTCTTGGGTTTTAGGAACACTCCCGGCCTGAGTATGAAACCAAAGTTCGAGAGAAAATGTTGAAGGCAAGTGGCAAGTCGGTTGTCCAGAAATTGGGTACCAATATGACAGAGAATGAAGAAGAGGTAAGATGCGGGCACTTGCTGCTCACTGTCTCCTTTATTTCTTAAGATCCTGTTGTCATCTCATTTGGAGTGCCTTCATGGACAGAGACTAGACTGGGAGATGGGGTTGATGGGAATGGGACAGGAGGGAATGATTCATGACACTTCCTGTTGACCTGCACTCAGAGTTTATGGGGAGCAGGGTTTTGCCGTAACTTGATTTATCTCTCTTTCCTGGGTGGCAGTGTCTAGACAAAATGGGAGAGCAGGTTGGAGAAGAAAGAAAGAAACAGTTTCTGGGCCAGTTCCTCCAGACTCCATCACCTAAATATCTAATAACGATACTATACCAACTAGCACAAGGGCAGATAACCTTTGTCGAATGCTTGCTCCAGGCTAGATGCTGTTTTCAGTGCATTATATTATTTTATTCTCACAATAAATTTAGGAGGCTGGCACTCTTGTTAGGTAAATGAAAACTAATGAAAAAAGTTATGTTCATAGCTTAAGTCAGTTGCCAGAGGTCACCCAGCCCGTAAATGGTGAGTGGATCTGGGATTGCAACCCCAGTCCATCTCTGACAGTCAGTGCATCTAACCAATATGCGATACTGCCCTTCCAGTGCAAAGAAGGAGTCCAAGCAAGAAATGGATCTTCAGGCTGGCAGAGGCAAATTCATGCCTATGCTCACTTGAGCTACTCATAGAATGTTCCTTATATTTCATTTTATCTGGGTGGGCCTTCACAAGTAGGAATGTGATGGTGAGCATGTCTTCTAAGTCCTATTTCTGAGTTTTAGGGTGGCATTCAGACATTAAAACAGAGCTTCAGAATCTGTGCTGTGATCTGTAAATACTCATAACGTGCGTGAGCCGGGGGTACGGAGTGGGGGGCTCCTCTTTGGCACCGCCTGTCTCCTCTGAGCGCCACCCGGCTTTGAAACCAAGTGTGTGTGTGTGTGTGTGTGTGTGTGTTTATGTCTTTCCTAATCTGGCTCCTGAAAAAAAATCAACAAGATTGGAAATCTGTTGTTTTTGCATGTGTCTTTTCTCCATCTTGGATTTGAATTCAAATTTCATTTAATTTTACATTCTTAAAGTTGGAACCATTCATGTTAACATGCAAATTTATTCAAGCACCAAAACAGAAGAATGTGGTGTTTTTGAGCCCAGAACATTGGCTTTTTTTCTTCTTTCTCTCTCTCTCTCTTTTTTTTTCTCTTAAAGAAAACAGGACTTAAACAGAAGAGAAGGAGGGTGGCCCTCTGAGTTTTTTTTTTTTTTTTTTCTAGACGAAAAGTAAGTCCAAGACCACCAATTATTCGGGGAAATAATGAATTCATTCTTAGGAAAGCCTAATCATCACCACCACCCTCATTAGAAAGCAAGCATTCTGTGTTCTGTCAGCTTCGGCAACTCCAGGCAACCTTCTTTCTCCACCCCAGAGCAATATACAATGGATAATTTTATGGAAATCACATGTAACTTTTATTGACCACTGACTCATTTAATTTTAATTCCACAGACGGGAATGCCAAGGAGCTGGAATTGCGTACATTGAGGCTGTGGTTCTAATATAAATTTTGCTTGGATTTATATGCATGATAGGTCACATAACTTTCAGGAACCATGAATAATTGAAAAACATCTGAATGCATTATGAATGATACATATGTTTATGTTTTAGCATTCAACATCTATTTCCATTACACTGTCTAGAATCCAAAGCTCAGAGCATCTAATGTCTTATGGGCACTGGGGAGAAAATGACCTTCCCAGATGAGCAGTGCAAGATGAAAATGGCCTGGAATTTGATTGTCAACATCCTTCTTGTGTTCCCTCCATTCTGTTAATACTGTAAATATTCTGTTCTTGCTATAAATCTAGCCAAAGGTGGGAGATGATGGGAGGAGCACATGTTGCTATCTGATGGGAGGGATGCTGCTCTTGCCTCTGGGAAGAGTTGAGGTCAATGCCTATGGCATAACATGGCTCTGGGGGCACCCTCATGTGTGGGATATCTAGGAAAGGCACCTTCTGCTGGGGAATAGACAGGGACTAAGACCCAAAGTCTAGCTGGTGGTCTTGGATATATGTCTTTCATCATCTTGGCTCTGCCTTCACTGTGACTTTCATGCTGCATATCCCCACCTCTCCTGACTTTCCTTCCTTGTAGATGATTATCTACCATTTTTTGAGACCCAGATCCGTATGGGAATTTGCCAAAGATCACATAACTTGTGGGGAAGCTGGTAGTCAAACTCAGCTTCACTTGATCCCCAAGGCCCATTGCTCTTATATATTTTTTTAAGTTTGAAGGTACCGAGCCCATTTTTAAAAACAGCTCAGACCATAAAATTCACCCATTTAAAATCTACAATTCATTAGTTTTTGGTATATTCGCAGATTTATGCAGCCATTTCCATCATCTAAGTTTAAAGTATTTTTATCACTCCCAAAAGAAACCCTCTACCCAGCACTTACCAAGCTCTGGGAAACAATTATCTACTTTTCGTTTCTATGGATTTACCTATTCTGGACTTTCATGTCAGTGGAATCATACAAAATGTGGTATTTATCTTCTTTCATTTGGCAAAATATTCTCATGATTCATCCATGTTTTAGCTACATCAGTACTTAATTCTTTTTTATTGCCAAATAATGTTCCATATTGTGGATATACCTCATTTATGACTTGATGGACATCTGGATGGCTTCTACTTTTTGGCTATTATGAATAATGGTGCTATGAATATTTGTGTACAAGTTTTTGTGTGGATGTATGTTTTCATTTCTCTTGGATATATACATAAGAGTGGAATTACTGGGTCTCATGGTAGCTGCATATTTAATACTTTGAAGAACTGCCGTACTATTTCCCAAAGTAACCATGCCATTTTACATTATTATTTTTTAAAGATTTATTTATTTATTTTAGAGAGAGAGAGAGAGCGTGAGTGCATGCATGAGCGCACAGGGATGGGGGAGGGGCAGAGGGAGAGGGAGAGAGAGAATCTGAAGCAGACTCCCCACTGAGCATGGATCCTGATGTGAGGTTCGATCTCATGACCCTGAGATCATGACCTGAGCCAAAACCAAGAGTGGGATGCTCAACCAACTGAGCCACCCAGGCACCCCCCATTTTACATTCTAACCAAACAATGTATGAGGGCACCAATTTCTCCACATCTTGGCAACACTTGCTGTTATCTTTTTTATTTTATCCATCTTAGTTGTGTGAAGTGGCATTTCATTGTGGTTCTTTTTAGCATATCCCTAATGACTAATGGTGTTGAACATCTTTTCATGTGCTTATTGGTTATTTGTATGCCCTCTTTGGAAAAGTGCCTATTTAGATTCTTTGCTCATTTTTTAAATTGTTTTTTATGATTGTGTAATAAGAGTTATTTACATAATCTGAATACCTATCCCTTATATGATATGATTTACAAATATTTTCTCCCATTTATGGATTATTTTTTTCATTTTATTGATATAATTCAAAGCTCAAAAGTTTTTTGTTGTAATTCAACTTGTATGTATTTCCTTTTGTCTTGTGCTTTTGTGTCATATCTAAGAAACCATTGCCTAGTTCAGTGTCATAGAGATAGACTCCTAGGTTTTCTTCTAAGAGATTTATGGTGTTAACTCTTACATTTTAGGTGAATGATCCGTTTTGAGTTGATTTTTCTGTATGATGTAACTAAGGGGTCCAAATTCTTTTTTTTTTTTTTTTGCATGTAGATATTCAATTGTCCTAGGACCCTTAGTTGAAAGACTGTTTTCCCCATTGAATTATATTGACACCCTCATCAAAAATCTATTTACCATAAATGTAAGAGTTTATTTCTGGACACTCTATTCTATTCCATTAATCTATATATCTGTCCTTATACCAGTGCCACATTGTCTTAATTACTACACCTGTGTAATGAGGTTTGAAATTGGGAATGTAACTTTGACTTTGTGCTTCTTTTTCAAAATTGTTTTGACAATTCTGGGTGTCTTGCATTTCCATATGAATTTCATGACCAGCTTGTCAATTTCTGCAAAAAAACCAAGCTAGGATTTTTGATAGGGATTGAGTTGAATCTGTAGATTAATTTAGGAAGTATTTAAAGTCTTATAATCTATGAACATGGTATATCTTTTTATTTAGATCTTTTTTAGTTTCTTTCAACAGTGTTTTATATTTTCAGTGTACAAGTCTTGTACATATTTTGTTGAATTTGTTTATAAGTATTTTATTCCTTTTGATGCTATTGCAAATGTAATTGTTTTCTTAATTTCAATTTTTCATTGTTCATTGTGAGCATATAGAAATACAATTGATTTTTTTAAAAAGATTTATTTATTTATTTTAGAGAGAGAGAGAGCATGCCAGTGAGCACAGGAAGGGGCAGAAGGCAAGGGAGAGAGAAACTTCAACAGACTCTTCTTTGAGCTTGGAGCCTGACACGGGCCTCAATCCCATGACCCTGAGATCATGACCTGAGCCGAAACCAAGAGTCAGACGCTCAACCAACTGTGCCACCTATGGGCCCCTTGATTTTTTTGTATATTGATTTTGTATCCCATAGCTTTGCTGAACTCATTTTTTAATTCTAATAGTTTTTAGTGAATTCCTTAGGATTTTCTATTTATAAAATCATGTCATCTGTGAATAGAGATAGTTTTATATCTTCCTTCCCCAATCTGGATGCATTTTCTTTCTTTCTCTCCCTCTCTCTCTCCTTTTTTTCCAGCTAATTGCCCTGACTAGAATCTCTTGTACAATGTTGAATAGAAGTGATGAGAGCAGACTTTCTTGTCTTGTTCTTGATCTTAGGAGAAGAAAAAAATTAGCCTTTCACTGTTAAGTATGATGTTAGCTGTGGCCAGTTGCTTTTTTTTCTCTCTTTATAAGGCTTCCCAGAGAACAATTTACATCACATCAACATGATACTGATATGAAACATTCTGTATTGTAATGAGGTGGTAACTACATGTCCACACTGGGGAGGAACAATACAGTATGTCCCA